CTGCCACGCATATTTTTGGAATGCGGGAGGAAACGGAAGTACCCGCAGAAAACCCACACAGGCCCGGGGCGAACATGCAAACTCCACACAGGGAGGCTGGAGGCGGAATCGAACCCTGCAACTCTGCACTGAGAAGTCGATGCGCTTCTGATGGAACAAAGGTGCTCAATTGTTCTATATTTGGAGGGGTGAGGGGGGTTAACTTATGTGTTAGCGCATCACTCGCCACTATTTTAGCCACTCCTCGAAAGCTTATGTGTGATATTAATTGACGACTAAAATGAGGGACATTTTCGCTTTAATTATAGTTTTTACTACTTTAGTGATGTCAATGACCACGTCCACAACAGCGCAGTCCTCCTTCTGCTGGCCTTGCGTCCTTCTTTGACTAACAGTAGAGATAATAATGAAACTACAACGGGTGGAATGGCGGTCGATTGGTGAGCACGTCTGCCTCACAGTGCAGAGGTGCAGGGTTCGATTCCTGCTCTGGCCTTCCTGTGTGAATTTTGCATGTTCTCCTCGTGCCTGCGTGAGTTTTCTCCGGGTACTCCGGTTTCCTCCCACATTCCAAAAACATGCATGGTTGACTAATGGAACACTCTAAATTGTCCTTAGGAGTGATTGTGAATGCGAATATTTGTTCGTCTCTGAGTGCCCCCGGCGATTGACTGTCAACCAGTTCAGAGTGTACCCGCCTGCTGCCCACATGGGAAGACACATGGGATAGGCCCAGGCACACCTGCGCCCTGATGAGGATAAGCGGATTAGAAAATGGATGAACGGATGGATGAATGGATAAAACAACAACAACCTTTACTCATCGCACAGTGGATAACTTTGCAAACCATTCAATGAACCCAGCATGCTTTTGTTTCTTAAAGTGGAAGGAAGCTGGAGGACCAACTCCACTTACAGGAAGGCCGCGGCTATGTTCCGAATCTCAGATCTCAGGCCTGCGGGGTGCCCGCCCCACCCACAGGAGCACCTTGCCGCTGCTATGACAATATGAAGACAAACTAATAAAAAGTGACTGATATGATTGAGCCAAACTGAAGAAGGAGATGCAAGTCAAAGTTCTCCTTTTGTCTCACATCCTGTTTGGCTGGGGATTAAATGGCGGCTTTCAAAGCATGTTTACTCCATTCTCTTTCTCCCAGGGCACGCGCGCGCGCACACACACACACACACACACACACACACACACACACACACACACACACACACACACACACACACACACACACACACACACACTGCTACTTTTTTACTGTTCTGGCGAGTTACTCATTAAACTGCCCTTTGTCCTCTACGAGCCAAGCAGAGGTTGTCTTCGGCGGGATCTCAATCCTGTTGTTGCGTTTTGGGGGAAGTCTTAATCATGCTTGTGTGTGTGTGTGTGTGTGTGTGTGTGTGTGTGTGTGTGTGTGTGTGTGTGTGTGTGTGTGTGTGTGTGTGTGTGTGTGTGTAGCTTTAAAAGGATCTATAGCACTGCTGAAATATCCATCACGATGCAGTCAAGAAAGACGGCTACAGTGGAAAGCAAAAAGACAGGGCATGTTCACAGCGGGGGCATTCTTCCTGCACGGCGGCCGGTTGCCAAGCAACTTCATTGTGTTCCCTGCAAGGAAATTGTCCAGACAGGATTTAGAGTTCAGAGCAGGATTTGGTTACGCGGAGTCACACAGAGCGCGATTCATTCTTACTGCGCCTCGCTGATGCAGCAAGGCAACACACAGCAGCCGTTTAGGTCTTCGGCTCCCTTCGACGTATTCGGGACCCCCGCCCACGACGAATGCTGAGTTTCGGTGGGCGTGAATTGGGTTTCTCATTTGCGGTCGAGTCGTTCTTGCATTTCTTATATATTTGGTTGAAAGAACAAAATTAATAGAAACAAAATAAAAAATGAAATAGAAAATCCCAATTGGAGCCTTTTTTTAATGATGTGAGATTAGAATTATTAGATCGCGAATACATTAATCCAATAAAAATGATACTCTATTGGGAAAGGTTGTACTATAGTGCAGTTTTGAGTGATTATTCATTTGACAATGTTTACCCCTGTGGTTGTGTATTATTAAATCTAAAACAAACAAAACAAAAAGCTGTTACTACAGTACTATTTTTGATGAGCTCGCATAACTACAGTGGACACACTTCTGTTCAAATGCAGTTTTGGCAGCATTTAAAAAATATATATATTACTCCACCAACAATGTAACCTATAACCTGTACAAATCTATTGAAAAACTTTTTAAAAGTAATAATAAACAGCTGAAGTCATGAAGTTGCACAAGTGTGCAAACCAAGGTTATTATAGTTCACGAAAATGGGCAAAATTATGAAAACTAAAATTGAAAAAAAAGTTTTTTTCGTTAACCAAGTAAAATAAAACCCAAAAATGCCTTTAAAATAATGAAAACTCACTGAAATTTGTCATCATGTATTTTTTTTCATTTCTGCACGGCCGTATAGAAGGAAAGTCAATCTTTTGAGAATTGTCGATTAATATTATTACTCAATGCTGAGTGACTTTTTTTTTAATCTTGTACTCGACACTCCATATATGAAAAATTCAACTAAAATGAAGTGTCTTCAAAAAAAAATTTTTTTAAATATGTTTCAGTCGGCTTTTCTTGATCTTTTTTGTTGTTGAACCTTGAAGGTTTCGTGCTCAAAATGAAGTTCCACCATCACACATTTTTGTACATGAGCTCTTTGGTAAAACAAAGTGAACAGCAGATCAATAAATAGTGGTTTATTCTGACAATACGTTTGCCTTATATACAGGTGCGTGGAAGAATTGGAAATCAACGTCAAACCGAACATTCAGAAATCATACCGGAAATGGTACAATTCATGTTTTGTTTTGTTTTTACATTCATTCAAATCTCTCATTCAAGAGAGGAAGGAAGCAGAACCTGAACACTTGATCACTTTGCAAACGTTTATCTTTAATCCTTCATGTTTACATTCACTGTTCCAACGATCAGTGCTTCCACCGATGTTTCATTGTACTTGTTATATTTCAGATGCATCGTGCAAACGCTTGATGAGATTTGACACGGGTGTCTCGTTTACTATTTTAATATGGCCGCTGTGTTTGCAACACACACACACACACACACACACACACACACACACACACACACACACACACACACACACACACACACACACCAAACGGAAGGAAGCAAAGGTGAAGCAAAATGTCTGCAGCAGATGTCCCCCGTTCTACTGTTCAGGTCTGCATCATCAATTGTTCAAAGAAAGCTCTGCCTTCCCTTTTCTACTCTTATTTTTTCCTGTTTGGGAAAAGCCCCATTGAATGTACGAAGTATTAGAGCCACATGAACGGAAAAAAACAAAAAACAAAACTGATAATTTTATGAGAATTTGCGTCATTTTAAGATCAAAAGTCGTAATAGATGAGAATAGGTCAATGCTACAAGAGGATTTTTTTTTGGGGGGGGGTGTATTTTAAACAAAGTCAATGCTACAATCGTTGGGATATTTTTATATGAGGAAGAAATTTTATCACAAGACAAAACCGTTTTCTGGAAAATTTTATATGATGACTGACAATTGAAAATATCAGAAAAAGAATGATGAAAAAAACATTCAAATTTTGAGGGGAGAAAAAAAGTGATATTGCACAATACGTCATAGTACAAGAAGAAAATAGTGTAATATTTGGGGGGTTATTTTCCAAGATGAATGTATGTATTTTTTAAATTTTTATTTAAAAAATATCTCAGTCGGTCAAACAGGCAGGAAAAAAAAAGGCAGAATATTACCTGTTGTTTTTTTTAAAGCCACATTTTGGTTAGAATTCAAAGAGAGCTGTCTTTTAAAAGTAAAGTCCATGTTACAGGTATAATTTTGAAATTTACAAACTTCAAGTGCAAGCTGAAAAAAAGTCATCTGGAGAATATTCAAACTCTTGAGCATGTCAGTGTGCCGAGTTTAAAATCTTCCCTTTGCGATGCTGTGCATGTCAATCGAGATCTTATTCAAAGAAAGGAAAAGGCCTCCTCCGAAAAAATACTAATTGTACAGTTTTGAGAAAACGTCATTAAATATGAAAAAAATTGAAATATTAGGGAGTAAACTCCCACTCAAGCGTTAATCTAAGAACTTTTTAATTTGCCCGAAAATGTCTTCTTTTAGAATTCTAATATGTAATTACATATTTCCCCTCTTAAAAAAAAATTCTGATTAAAAAAAATGCCATGAAAATTTGAAGAAAAGAAATAGTTTAAATATTTTGGGATGAAACGGCAATTTTATTTCTCAAAAAAAAATTGGTATTAATCATATAACTTTATTCCTTTCTAAAATGACGTTTCTGTCAACTTCCAACTATTATTTTCAAATTATGACTTTTTTAAATGTAGTAATTGTCCCAAAAAATGACTTCGTCCTCTTAAATCCTCGCTGAGGGATCATGTTTATTCTTGGTGGGTTTTGATGAAAATTAAATTTGATGAAACGACAACAAAAAAAAACCCAAAACATTTCTCATGTTTTTCCGGTAACACAAAAAAAAAAAAAAAATCCTGAAAATATCAACTTTTTTTTCTGGTACCATTGAATATTTTTTCATGACAATTCATTTTCCTTTGCACAACTTAAACATGTTTTTTTTTTCTTTGTAGCAGGTAAAAACTATCGTACAATGTTGGCGTGCGCCTTATCGATTTCGTCTCCACGCGGCTCTAATACTCCGCCACTGTGACGTCACATGATTGCAGGGAATTTGTGCTTTTGAGGTGTATAGCAGCATCAGACACTGGCATGAATATTTCACAACTTGATCATCCGCCACGTATGGCCACCTTGAAAAACAACAACGTTTGACCACTGTTGTACTTTGACCCAAGCTGCATTACATCATTCACAGGAAGGAAAGGGGGGAGGGGGGAGCACAATCTTGTTATTAGTGCACATGGAGGAAGAATGTTGTTGGAAAGTACCTGTGATTTTTCTCTTTTTTTTTTGTTGTGCATGTTTTAATAAAAACGCACCACGAGAACTTTCGAGTGTGCCGCTTTCTGTTCCTCCCTGGGCAAATTCCATGCGAGACAATGAGTCACATTTTTAAAACAAACCAAAACAAAACTAAAGAAAGAAACATATTTGTCTGGCTTTGGAGTTTTTTTTTTTTTTTTTTACAGTAATGACCCTTAGTTTGCTTTATGGTTGTAAACTTCTCTGCAAGACTGTCAAGTATCAACGGAAGAGTCAAGTCTTTCATAAAGCAGTTTAGTTGTCCGTGGGTGTAAAGGGGAAAAAAAATCCCGCACTCAAAGCATTCATTAAAAAAAAAAAAAATCAAATAAAAAATGCCTTTTGTCTTTGCCGACTCTTTTGCGTCCGGTGTGAGGCGTCACCAATATTGCAAGGATGAAGAGCTTTGTACATTGATCAGGTCAATCATAGTTTTCAATTTGGTTTACACACACACGCACGCACACGGAATTATGCACTTATTGACAATATCAATACAAAATGACAACATTTTTACCCAACGCACCTTTGTATGCAGCTCCTTCCAATGAAAGACATTCCGATCGCCTCCTTTGATCTGATTCCCGCCATCCACATTCAGTCTATGGCAGGGGTGGGGGTGGGGGCTGGGGGGGAGGCCGTACCAAACAAGCCCCCCAAAACATGCAATACTAATTTTTGGCACCATTTGAACATTTTCATTTTGGTTTTTACAGGCGTGGGGGTTATTTTGTGCTGTTTCTTGTGATTGTTTACTTGGGTACACGGCCCCAAAACAAGTCTTATTTTCCATACAGTGCATAAGAAATCCAAAATGAACAGCTTCAGTCATGACCAAAACCGCTGCTTCACTTTCTGTCACGGATGATATAGGAAGGACCACCAAAAAACTCAAATGTTCTGAAAATTATTCATCATTGACTACAATGAGGGGGAATAGTGCTTCGGCGCCATTTTGGGGCATTAACGGATGATAAACCACTTCAAGGAAGATGTCAATTATGCGGGTATTTTTGTTATTTGCGGGTTTCACTGCATATACAGTACCCGCCATTATTACTGGCACTCTTGGTTAAGATGTGTCGAAAGCCTTCAAATGAATTCCATTTTTTTTGCAGAAGCATACTCGTATACTGAAAATGATACAAGCGGTTGGCCAGACAGAGGATCAAGCTCCTCCCATGGCCAGCTTTATCCCCAGACCTCAACCCCATTGAAAATCTGCAGAGAAAAAAAAAAGTAATTATGAGAAGTTCAAGAACACATCCTAAGCAGGCGTGCCAGTGATTATGGAGGCCAGTGGGCTTTTTTTTTTTTTTTACGTGTTTTTGGTGGTCTGCTGCCCGATTCTTCACCTGGCCTCACTGAAGCTGAAGAAACTACTTTCGGGGAATGTGGCCTTATAAAACGTGTTCAGCACTGCACGTCTGACAAACATTTAGTCGTGTGCATTTCTCAGCAGCATTTGCCATCACGTTCTGTCGCTTCTTTCTGATTGATTCTTGAAAAGTCGTTTTTTTTTTTTTTTTTTTTAAATCCATCGATGCAGTTCAAAGGCTGGTGATTTTTTTGTCTTTTTTCCAGTTAACTGACCTTTAAAAAAACAAAACAAAACAAAACAGCGCTGTCATAAAGCAGTCTCTTGTGCAGGAAAAGGAAAGGGATTATGTTTAAAGACCACCCCAACTCCAGGCTGGGACGGTCTTCTTTGTAAATGCGAGGGGATTTATTTGCTGCATCATCATCATCATGATGACGCCACGCCGGTGAGGACGTTGTTTTCTGTGCTGGCGCTGATTGACAGCACGCCAGAGTCGATAGGGGAGGAAACTGTACAGACCAGTAGAGAGGGGGGAGACGCTCCTGAAGGGTTGGAATCGGAGTCTGAGTCTACGGATTCCCGTAAAGGATGATCAGTCACTGAGGTCACCGCGGCAGCGGCAGGTTCTATGATAGGGGGAATGGTGAGGGGAGGAGACGTGGAAGGGGATCGGGGCGGTGGCGTATGGCTTGACGGGGGCAAAACAGAGTCTGGAATGGGGGAAGGAGGGGGAGAAAGATCATCGCCACAAGGGGGGTCCGGCGGAGGTGACGGCGATGTTGATTCGTCCTCTATTCCCAAGAGGATGTCTGTGTCTGAGCAGAAAGAGGCAGAATTCAAGGGAGAGGGCGCCGGCAACGGCGGGTCAGCGTCAGCGTACTCTGTCGACGGTGGACCCAATTCCTTGGACGGAAGGTCCGCGTCCAGATGCTCGGGGGATTCCGGCGGGGGCTCCTCGGAGGCCGGGTCCGAAAGAGCTTCCTGCGTAGGGGACGGATGCAGAGTGTCGTCCATTTGGAGGACAACGGCGTGAGCGAGGGGCTCGATCGAGGCAAGGACCACCTCTGAAGGCTTGTCCTCGTCCGACAACAGGGGGTGCGAGTGCACAGGCGTAGAAGACAGGAGGCGCTCTTCGCTAGCATGTTTGATGTCATCTTCAGTCAGCGCCGCGCACGCTCCGTCGTCATCATCGGGCCGCTCGGGCTTGGCGAGGGCAGTCAAGTCGATGGCGGACGAGGCGGCGGAGTCCATGGTGGAGACGGCGGTGGCAGCCGCCTCATGCAGGGGCGTATCGTGCACGCGTGTGTAATCCCGGGCACTCTCGGAGGGCGCCAGCAGGAGGCGTTGCTCGCCGGGCTTGCGCGGAGGCAGCAGAGGCTGGCGCGTGTAGCTCTCGCCCTCGGCCAGCGTCTCGGGCAGCGGGTGGTAGCGGGTCTCCGGCAGCAGCAGAATGCAGATGATGCAGATGAGCGTGCAGCAGGCGAAGATGATGTGGTGCAGGAAGTAGCCCTTCTGGTTGTGCAGCTCCATGATGGGCGCCGTCAGCATGCCAAAGCCGGCGCTAGCCAGGACCAGGCCCAGGCCGCCGCCCCTAAACGGACATCAGTGATTTATCATTTTAGGACTGGGCTTTGATTGATGTTGAAATCACAATTAATCAACACAATTATTTCAAGACATTGTATATATTCAACCCAATTCGACTTTAACTAACCAGAAAATACATTTGTAACAAGTTTTAATTCTAACAATTGAAAATATCCATCCATCCATTTTCTAATCCGCTTACCCTCACTGGGATCGCGGGAGTGCTGGAGCCTATTTCAGCCATCATCAGGCAGTAAGCGGGGGACACCCTGAACCGGTTGCCAGCCAATCGCAGGGCACACATAGACAAACAGCCATTCGCACTCACATTCACAGCTAGGGACAATTTAGAGGACGGGTGTCAAACTTATTTTTGTCGCGAGCCACTTTGGGGTCACGACTTCCCTCAGAGGACCGTTAGGACAGTAAAACTAAGTTAATGTTTATATATTATTACTTGTACACAACAAATTGATGGATTACCAGTTTTGGATTCAGCCAAATTAACTATAATAGTTTGTTCATTTTTTGTTTGAGTGAGTGTGAACAGGGTAACAAAATTAGTGCAAAATCTCAACATTATTAATGACACATGACAATTTGACATTTCGGTACGGACAAGCCGCATGGAAATTGACACACATCGGGCCACATAAAATAATAAGGCAGGCCGCATCTGGCTCAGGCCTTGAGTTTGACACTTGTGATTTACAGTGTTCCGTTAACCTGCCATGCATGTTTTTGGAATGTGGAAGGAAACTGGAGTACGCAGAGAAAACCCACGCAGGCACGGGCAGAACATGCAACCTCCACACAGGAAGGCCAGAGCCGGGAATGAACCCACGACCTCTGCACTGTGAGGTCGAAGCGCTTACCAGTCGTCCACCGTCCCACCTAAATATATTAAAACAATAAGGGCGAATAAATGCCGGTTGTTGGCCTCCTAAAGGCAATGTGGTACATTAAATAGTCGAAGAAGAACGTTGCAATTGCAGCCAACATTTTTTTTTTTTTTTTATGGGAATGGGTGGAGAAAGTTCTTGGGTTTGATCATTAAGCTGGAGAAGTAATAAAACAAGAACAAATAAAACTAACTATGGCCAGCAGGTGGCAGCATTGGATCTCATTTGGAGGAGCTAACCGTGTGTGACAACAATATGTCAACTCCTAAAACCTGGACGAGCCCTGGAAATGCGACAAGTGTTTGTCACGTTTAAATCTATGACAAAGAGTATCACAAAAGAGAGAAAAAAATGAAGGAGATTATTTATGTTTAGAAGTAGAGGTGATGGCATAATGTACGTACAAACACACAGGGCAGCGCACATGCACGCACACACGCTACTATATACTCCTACTACTAAATAGCGTGCAAATACTTTGTCGTTGGTAAATTTGATCAAATGTAACATTGTTACACTGGTGATTCATTGTGAATACATTATTTTGACATCAAATGCATTCTTTCATTGTTCGTATTTTACAGAAGAAAAGAACTGTTCAGATGTTTGAGGTATTTCCAAATCCAAAATGATAAACATCACTCTAAATGTGGCATACAAAATATACCTTTTCAAAAAAAGCTTGTATTCTGCATTTAAGAGGTGATTTGGCTGAAAACCACACTAAACAAAAACTGAAATCCCGATTTTGATGGAGAGACCAGCCCCTTCAGATAATTTGTGTGCGTGCGTGCGTGTGTGTGTGTGTGTGTGTGTGTGTGTGTGTGTGTGTGTGGGTGTGTGGTTTTGTGCGTGTAAGCTCTCTCTCTAAGATTTGTGGCTATTTTGGTGTAAAGGCTCACCACACTGAGGGACCAATAAACACAGTCACAAACTGTAAATTCTTGGATAAAAACCTCAGCAAGAACATTAATAATGGGTCATGGGCCTTCCACTATGAAAATGCACCAAAGTACATTTGCATGTTGCCAAGGCAACAAAGGAGCGACTGAAGGAGAAAGACATTAAGGTCACCGAGTGGCCGAGTCAGTCTACAGCATTCAACCAGTAGAAAACCTGTGGAAGGAACTGAATTTTTTCTTTGATTTTCCAAGGTGCAGTCAAGAAATTAAATGATTTCAAAAGAGGCGCTACCCACATAATTGATAAACAAGCAATACAAATTACAGCCTGTTTATTGCTTTGTGATTTATCAAGTGATTATTTGATCCCCTGCTGAATTGGAGTCCGTTGTGACATATTTTAGAGCCCGTTCTAGACAACAAAAGAGTGCTGCAGCACCACTTCATTTCCCAGCCGGCGCGACTTGCAATGCACCAGGTGGCGCCCTTCACGCACTTTGGAAAAAGGCAGCACACTTTCCGTCAGGCCACATACAGTCAAGCTCATGCAGTGCTCAGGGGCAATTTGTCCAAGCTGTCGCCTTCATGTGACAACGTGGCGGACAAAAGAGGAGTCTCGGGGAACGTGCTCAATTATGCCAACCCAGTGAGCAGCAAATCATTCAAGAGGGCTGAAGTCACATTTGCATCTCACTAGTGTTGCTTGTCCTTGATTTACACTGGAGAAATTTTGTTCCATCTGTACATTAAGTGGCAATGCGATTAAGCTATGCTAATGCAGTAGAAAAGTCTTAACTACACAAGCAAATTGTATTTCTGGGCCACACATAGAAAGCATTTAAATGAAAAAAAAATGCCTTCTGAAGGGCCAACAGGTCTATGAAAAAATATCATGTAACATACTCGGGATGTAGACCCCATCGGGTTCACAATGCTGTGGTGGAGTGGTCCCAAGGGGCTTTACCTGATAACGGTGGGTGTGATCTCAGCACAGAAGAAGATGCTCAGGTTGCTGACGGCATGGGACGAGAACATCCCGATGATGGAGAAGGCGATGGAGAAATTCTTCTTGAGAGTGCCTGAGCTATCTAAACACATATTCAAGCATGTGTGTTAGTTCTGTCTCATTTAATTTTTTTCACACGCATCACTACAACAAAAATAAATGGCAATACCAATTTTCTGCAGATAGCACTGGAGTGGAGTATTTTTAGACTGTGGCAGCACATCAAGCCTCTAGGGGCGCTCTAGCAGCACACATGGATTTGGGCCTATTTTGTTTTTCTGTGACGTGAAGTGCAATGAGTCCAGTCAGCTGTTACTTAAGCGTTTGGATGCATAAAAAAAACAAAACAAAACAAAAACAAAACTTGATTATAATCATGCAAAATAAGCTTACCGATATTGAGATGGGTGCTGTATTTTCCGAGCACTGAAAGACAGATCAGGAGAAAGGGTGCATCAGTCGTTAGGCGCACACACACACACACACACACACACACACACACACACACACACACACACCAAAAAAAAATATGAATACGAAAAAATGACTACCTCATGATTATCAAGTCAATCAACAACGAGAAAAGCTTGTCACAACACAAATGTGCAATGCAACACAATGATGTGTTGACACAGGCTGAACATTAAGTCACCTGTAACTGAATAAACGGATTCATGTCTTGTTGGTACACATTGACCACCCAAGCCGTTTGCGGTGGTGTCCAAACGCTCATTATGAGCAGCTGACATGAGCACAAGACACGCCTCGTTGTGCAAGCACTGGAAATTTCATTCGCTAAGCCTGCATAATCACATTTTAAAACTACTGAAAATAGGGAAAACTGAAAGCTAATTATTGACAACCATAATAACAAACCTACCATACATCCCCAAAACTCGGCCTGCTGTAGAATGGACTATGAATACTCATTATCTTTCGATAATTTAATATATACGGCACAACAATCTGTCAATAAACAATATACTGCTCCATATTTTATATTGCTATCATTGCATCTTATATAATTTGAATTCTAAATAACATTTTTGTGAGTTGTTTTCTTTTTAAATGAAATATATATTTTTTTAAATGTATCAATAAATAACATTTACAACAACAACAAAAGTCACTAACTGTGGGTTGGATTGGACAATAAGGAATACATTTGACTCGATCTTTCCATTGTTATTCTTTTAAAGTTTTTAAGTTTTTCGATAGGCAAAGAAAACATGAAAAATAAAGACAATAAAATATATAAGTACCCTCGAACAATGACAAATCCATTCACTAATTTCAGTGTCACTTATTTGTGTACACCCCCCTCATATTTATTCAGTCGCACTTTCTGCAACTGAATAAATAATAGAGGAAAATATGGTACTGTTAAATGAATATGGAGTCAAAAAGGTAAAAAAATATCTAATACAGTACCAGCTATTATTTGGGATCTCACTATAGAGAGTATTTATAATTACCATAATTAAAAACAATGGGGGGAGGGAGAGGGTGGGGTCGATATGTCACAAAAACCTCTTACAATATTAGACCCATTGTTGAATCAAGTGTCAAAACTGCAAAAGCATTTGATTGATTGAACGTGATCCTCGGTGAGAACTCACAGTTGGGCAGGCCGAGCTGCAGTAACGATGCCAAGGCGGTGATGATCATGAACATGAGGAGACCACCGCGTCGACCCATCAGGCCCACCGCCGGGCACAGCGCCAGGCAGGACGCCACCGCGATGCCCGCCATGGTGTAATAGTCGGCGTAGAAGTCGTGAAACATGGTGGTTTCCTGGGCCTCCGGGTCCATCATGCTGCGGGCGAAGCAGTGGTGGATCCCGTAGCCTGTTAGCCTGCACACATTGGAAAAGAAATACAGTGAAACTCCTCTACAACGAAACCTATATGGGCGAAAATACCCCCTAGTGTGAAAAAAATCTTCATGCATTAATACCATTCCTACTCTCCTGCCCGCCATGAAGCGAAAAAAACCCCTGTTGTGTTATATGAAATCTTTTTCTCTGCTCTTGCCTCGCAACGAGATTCACTACAATGAAGTCTCATCCAACAGCGACCTCTACTGCTTCATTCGGAAATGGCAACAGCAACCAGCACATTTGTTTAAACATGCGCAGTCGTCCAGGAAGTATTTGTTATTGTTAGTTTCAGACGCAGCAAGAACATTGCATTGCTAAAATGGCTACAAAACGGACCTTTGGATGTCAAGCAGCTAAGACAAGAAGAGCTCTGATGCTGGAAGAGAGGGTAAAAGTGATCAAAATGAAAGACGGATGAAGCAAAATAAAAGACATTATCCAAGAAATTGGTGTAAGTGAAAGTGAATGCTGATCGTAAATTTCGCAATTTCTTTCCCTTTTTTAGGTTCTACACTGACTATATGAAGTGTCAAATAAGTGTATGCTCATACTTATGCACTATTGGAATACACGTACGTTTGTGTGTGCGGGTACACATACGTTTGTGTGTGTGTGTGTGTGTGTGTGTGTGTGTGTGTGTGTGTGTGTGTGTGTGTTAACATCTGAGATCAAATTTGCTACAGTGAAAAACCCCTGTTGTGAATTTTTTTTTGCTGCAAACATGATTTCGTTGTAGAGGAGTTTCACTGTATGTACAATACATGAATTTAAAAAAAAAAATAATTAAATAAAAATACAGATTGTAAATGACCCTAAAACTTGCAATAGGAAACACACGTGATGTTGCGCAAGATGTGTCGATTCAACCCTATCTAATAAAAGGACATTTCAAAGTCCACTGCGCTTCTGTGTAATCCGACGCAATCCACAATGTACTCTGTCAACACGCACATGTTGACACACAAGCAAACACATCCTGCGCAGCAGGACACACAAAAGCAAAGGCGGCGCTCCCACCTTGCCCGTCTGCGTTTGTGTGTGAGTGCGCGTGTGTGACTAAAGTTTCATAAGGACGGCCGCTCATGTAAAATTTACGCCGACTTCAGGAGTCAGTGACGCGATACGCCGTGGTGAGTGTCTGTACGTGCTCGAGAGCAGGTCAGGGATGGAGGGAAGAGCAGATAGCGGGATAAAAATGGAAAGAAAGTGCTCTCCTTGAAAGACAAAATAGAATTGAGGGGCGGTGACAAATGGGTATACGTACAGGGGGATTGAATTTGCGAGTGAACAGTGGAATCCAAGATGGACTGAGATTTGCCCCATCAACGCAAACTCGTCACCGTTAAAAATTGGTGACATACACACGCCCATGTCTGCTCCAACTACAACTAAGCACATTCAAAAATAACTACACCACAGAGAAAGACTGTGAGATAGGGTTGAAATTTGCTTTTGGCGGCGTGCCTGTCAGTAAATAAGCAAAATAAGTGCTGATGGTAGCTAGTGGAGTCTATGCAGCGGTTACAAACGATTCAAGACTAACTAAATGCAATGTAACATGACCTATTTGCATTATATATGTGCTGGTATTATTGCTTACTTCTGCTTAATGCTAGTATGTATTGAATGTAAAGACCGTCATATGGATACTATATGTGACTCAAATTAGTACATGAACATCGTCTATTCAAAACGAACAAAAATCTGACAGATTGTAGCTCTTAAATGGGAATTGGCAAACTGAATTTACAGTGTAAATCTCCCCGAAATTGAGTCAGTGTGGCACATGGACCCCCCTGGCCCCCTCCCAAAAAAACCCCACTTACGAGTTGACGCAGAGCACAACAATATTCTTCCACAGGTTCCTCGTTCGGGCCATTTTCACGATGCACGTCTTTTTGGGCTTGCGTTGAAGAGCTCTCTGCAATTCTGGGAACACAAAAGTTCAAATCACGGAGCAGTCAGATGGAATCTTGACATGAAAAATTAATATGGTGGACTGAAAACAGCTTTATTTCACTGTATTTCACTCAGCTCTTTTTAATTAGGTTAGGACTCAAAGGAAACGACAAAGAAACAACTTTATAACGCATCTGGGCCACAGTAAGCAGGTGTAGCAGGAGTAGCAAGGCGGCCTTGCAGAACACTAACAATGTGTGTAATTTTGTTGCATGCTTTAAATGGGGGAAAAAATGCCCCAGACTGTGGTCATAAAATACTCGGGATGCAACATCACCACTTTTTTTTCCTGAATGAATAAGACTAGAATTACTGACATTGCAGTACTTGCGGATACAGAGTACCTGATAATGCCTCCAAGGTGTCATGAGCAGCGCGGAGCACAATAGGCGAGGCAACTTGTGGCGAGTTAAGAACACAACAAACATTTTGAAAAGCTTAACTTCCATTTGACTGCTAAGTATTGTCACCTGTGTTACCCCGAAAGTATCTCTATACGGCTCACGTGGCATGGCAGGCTGGAGAAGTGGTTTCGGTGTCGTAGCATCAGAGTATTTTGATGAATCGAAGGAGTACAAGCATACAGTACTGCGATTATTATACTGGCATAGATGCATCCCAATACAAAAGAAAATTGAAATCCAGTGTCAGTGCAGACTAATTCAAGGACCAGAGATGATGCGTTTTCAAACACACACACACACACACACACACACACACACACACAGACACA